TATTTTATTTATTGTGTATTAAGAAATTATGAAAATATACACAAATGATAATTTATAAAGGAACATTGAAAAAAAAGATTGGTTGCTGCAACAATTTAGATAGTAAAATAGCATTTTTATATGGCTGCAGCAATCAATTTTTGGCTGAAAGCAAATTTTTAGTTGTGTTAGCCTATTTGCAATGTATATTTCGATAAACTAATGCAATTAAAAATTTGTTGCTACAACCAAAAACTGATTGCTATAGCCATATATTACTATCTGTGTAAGATTTTTAGTCGAGAATAATCTCCAGAGTTATCAATATGCATTCAATATGCATATTAAAATTATGCATATTTTTTCATTGTTGGTTACTTTTCTCAAACTTTACTGATTTCTTTTGATGGTTTTATGAATTGTTAGTTATTTATAATTAAAAAATGCATGCTAAATGTGGACGATAATCGACAATATATGAGCTCCTCTCTTTTCCTCGGGCGGCGATAAAATCCGAAGGCCGTTTTGCGCTCGGTGCGCAATTCTTTTCTCCCGCCCTCCCATCGTTACTTCTTTCCTTTTTTTTCTTCGTCGCCGTCTTTCCTTGGCTTTTTTAGCAGTGACGAGGCCGCGAGACTCGACGGCAGACAACCTTCGGTACGATACTTCGGCTGTTCGTTCGGCTCCAGCGCGGCTCGCGGAATCCGCTAAGAGATATTCACCGGCTTGCTCGTCTTTTCCTTTTCTCTCGTCCGAAAGAAAGAACACGTTCTCCCTCGCTTCGGCTCGCTCGTTCGCGTGAACGTTATTTTCTCGAGAACGCTTTGTCTCCCGATAAGGAAGGCACCAGAAATTCTTGATTCCCTTTCTCCGTTCGCGTCTGACTCATAGCTGCTTTCGGAGCTTTCGGTCGAACGATGAGAATAACACAAACAATGCAAAAGTCCAAAGCGATGTATAAAAGACATCGAAAGTAAGTTTTTGAGAATTCTTATATTTTTTATTTTGCTCAAGAATAATTTTCCCGTGCTAACGTAATCGTGTTCAGAGACCTTTAAATAGTTATACGAATTAGCCCCTTCGTGATCATTTCGTTTCGGGCATGCAAAAAAATTACATGAAAAACGTATGCGATCGATAAGAATTAAATATGCGTCGCTAGTCACCCCGCGACTCGTTCTTCATCGCCACCCCGCGTTATTAATCCACTTCCAAGAATCGCACATTGATAATTCGCGCGTACGTGAAAATCAGTCGCTGACGAGCGAGGCGATGCGAGGCGAGAATGAGGGAGAAAAAAAGCGAATCTACCTAACGCTACGAGGGTTGTCGACGGAGCACCCTCCGTGTTGTGCCAATAGGAGGACTCAGATCGACCCCGAACGCGTTCGACTAGGCAAGCGGAAAAAAAGGAGCATGAAGGGGCGTTGGTACAATGGGGGTACAAATCCCACCCTATTGGAAACGCCACGGGAATGATTTCATTAGTGTCCGCGCTGGTGATCGAACATGGAGAGAAAAAAATAGAGACGGAAAGAGTCACGAAGGCGGGGTCAAAAAAAGTAATGCTAGGGGGTGAGAGAGAGAGAGAGAGAGAGAGAGAGAGAGAGAGAGAGAGAGAGAGAGAGAGAGAGAGAAAAGGAAAGCTCGAAGCGCGCGATTGGAAAATGAAAATTACGCAAAGTAATCATAAGAATAATCCAAGTTAATGTAATCATAAGAATAATGGAAGAAAATCATGATAAGCGTAGAGATATTTTAAGAGATATTTACAATGATATTTTTTCGTTGTACGTGAAAGAAATTGAAATAAACGCGAAAAACTGCGTGCAAGAAAGATTGAACGAAAAAAATCGCGAAAAGTACAACATCTCGTAAGAGCGAACCAAGAGGTTATACCGCGAAAGACCGTCCCACTTTTCTATTTTAATGCCGCAAAAGAGACAAAGAGTGAAAAGTCCTTCTGGAGATTCGCCAGCCGGTAATGTTTACCGACGAAAAAGAGAGGGAAAGAGATCGTACTGGGAATCCGAGGGAAGGGAGGGGAGGGGAGGTGATTCGAAGAGGAGCGTGGTGCGAACCTTGCTCAATTAGGAGAGCGTTCCGAAATTAAGAGGCAGCAATTAGCTGCGATCGACAGGCGAAAGCGTTTGTATTACGCTCTTCGGTGATACATCATCATACATCTCCACGACTGTTGCTATTATGATTGTCGTGACATGAGACATTAATGAATTGCATACTCATGATCGTGACGTAGGAAAAAAAGGAACAAGAGCCGGATTTATAATCGTTTCACAGTCTTCGCGACGCGAGATCAATCAGGCGGCGATACTCTGTCTACATTCTCTGCAATATACAATTTCACGTGACGCGTCGTTAATTAAATAGATATCGTGTATCAAACGCACGAAAAATATACGAAGCGCCGTTATATAATTTCGCGCCATAACGCTATCATAATTTCGCGCATTTCGAGAAAACTACGTAACTGTCGAGAATGTGCGTATGTGTACATGCGTGTGCGTGTTTCGCGCGAATGGATCATTATAATGAAAATCGGAGATAATACAATTTTACAGGTGCAACGAGTGCGCATGTAAACGCGCCGCGAAACGAGTTGAAATTACAGCCGAAAGGAATTCCCATAGGCTTTCCCATATATTGACCCGATCGTTTTACCTTTAATCGTTGCCATGGGTACTTCGAACACTGCGACAAAGAGACCAGCATGAAATGGAGATCAATTTGAATTAATGTGATACCATTAAATCGTCAGTCATAGGTTTAGATTTTCAGGAGTGTTCATACTTTTCCACGAGTGTTCCCCGATCGTGTGCGCACGCTCTCGCGGAAGAAATTAAAAAAACATCGCGTAAATACCGCGAACACGGTAATTAATTAGCGCTCCGTGTTGGCGAAAATACGGCGTGATAAACGGGTAAAATCACCTCCATCCCACGCGCAAACAGATTTACATTTATTGCAGGCGATCAATCCGTACGCGGTCAACGAGAATCGCGCATATGAAAAAAAAAAAAGGAAAAAATATGTAGCGTTAAACGTGATACGATCACCGCGCGGTTTTTAATACAGCAACGGGAGAGGGATGAATCTCCGTGGCGAGAGAAAATAAATCTAATGGCTAACGAGTTTTTACCGAGCCGCGCGCCGGGGCAATTAAGAAGAGGGGTGGAGGAGGGTCCGGAGAACGGAGGGATGACAGGAAGAGCCTAGAGGTGAGTCGGAAGAAGGTTGGAAGATATGCGAGGAAGGTCTCCACGAGGTGGTAGAAAACAGGGGGTTGGTTGTATCGTGTTGCACGACATTCAATTCTTGTACCGCTAAACTACGGATAAATACGAAGGCTGTGCGCCACGTGAAAGTGGCCAAGAGCCACGGAAGGAGAAAGAAAGGGTAAAAGAGAATCAGGGCTGGCCAGATTCGCGAGACTCTCGACTAAATGTTAATAATTTTGCATTCTCATTTACGGTCAAATTTATGTCTCATCGGAATTTGGACGGATCTTCTGAAGTAAAAGTCTCATGTCAAAGATAAAAGGAGAGGGAAAAAGCTCGTACTCGCGTGAGAATTGTTACCAAAGTTGAATTACCAAATCAGGAGATTTTATAATTTATATCTCGATCCGAGATAAGCTCGGAGAAAAAATTTCGACATGGTTTGACGACGCGAAATTTAAGAGCATATGGGGTATTAACCAGTGACATATCGCGACAGTGTATCGTTGGATGATCCGCCCCTGTTCCAAGCCGAGCGGGAAGAGGGCAACAGTTAATAGGTACACCGAGAGAGAAGAGAAGAAGAACGAGGAGGTGGAAAGTGGGGAAGAGGAGGAGGTGTGTAGGTACCATAGACGAGTTTCTATGCCCGGGCTACCGATCGTTCTCTATAATACATTTACGCTCCGGCCTATTATAATATTGTACTCCGGGTGTATTGTCTTTCTTAGCGGGATAATGTTTCGCCGACACGCCAGGCCTCGACCTGGAGCGTAACTCTTTCATTTCCCCTTACTCTCCACCGTACTTCCGTGAGCCGTTCCTCTTTCTTCGTTGTCTCGCTTTCTCTGCGTTTCGAGCTATCTCGTGTTCCGGTTGCTTTTCTTCTCTTTCTCTGTTTCTCTTGCTGGTTTTTCCTTTTTTTTTTAAACAACGATCCATTAGCTATCAGGAGGGGGGGGGGGAGAGGAGAGGGGGGAGAGGTAGCAAGCACCCGGCGCGAAGGAGACGGGCGGCTAGGCGGTCTGAAATAGCGAAAACAATTTCAAGAAATCTGCCCCGGCGAAAATTCGATTAGCCGCGGAAGATGGGCTCGAGCTCTCCATTTGTTTCGTTTCGTTTTATTTCCAGCGGGTGTACTCTGTTTCTGTCGCGCGCTCGCGCTCGCGCCGGCGGCTTTTAATTACTTCGCCGCTGCGCTCGCCGTAAGATCTTCTCTCCCTTCTTCCCGCTCTTCTACATCTTCTTCATTTCTTCTCCTTGCTTCCCGTGGTTTTTCTTCCTCGTTTAACGCGAGCTACGTGCATCCTGATGTTTTTGCCGATAAGTCTGGACAACGCCGCCGTTCTCGCGGGATCGTAGCTTGATACGTTGCTGCATACTTCGTATTAGTAATTTAATCTGATGTATTGATCTCGCGCGCACAAGCCAAGCTATTCAGGAAGTTTCGCACAGGGTTAGCCCTACCATTGAAAAACTCATCAAGGCCATCCGTTATACACAATAAAAAATGAAGGGTCAAATAACTCGACTGCAAAAAATTATTCTCATTAGTGCGAGGATTATCGCATGGTACGTTAAAAAAAAATCGGTGGCAGTAATGGGGTCGTCATTATACGTCAGTTCATTCTTTCGTAACTGCGCATTTTTAGAAGGAAAAAAAAATTGGTAGGCCTGGTGAGGCGGGGGCCGTCGACATGATTCCATGGGTGATTTATCGGGGCCGTGCGGGGGACGGTAACAGGATAATCTGAAGGCTTTAGCCGTGGATTAGGTTTCAATTAGAGGAGCCAGGCGTTAAAAGAACGATATTTATTGCCAGGGCATCCGACGTGTGAACGGATTAAGCTTGCATAAGCCTGGACGCGCCGCACCTGATTCCGCGATTCGTGAAAATCGAACGTCTCGAAAGATGATCTATGTTTTGAATGTTAGATTACCTAATATTTAATTCGGGATTTTACACAGTAAAAGTATCCTTACGATCGTAGCAAACGCATTAGTCGGAATGTTATTTTATGAATTGTTATGTAATATGATGTAAATTGGAAAAAGTATGAATGACGTCTTTTCTCGGGGGATAAAGAAAAAGGAGGAAGAAAAGGAAGAGATGAAAGAGAGGAATAAGAGGAAGAAGGATAAGAACGCCTTGCGTATAGGCCGACAGATGCCTTCCCACGTTTTTTCGTTGAGACATGTGCCCGGCGCGGAAGGCGAAAGGGTTGAGAAATTCAGTTGCCGGCTGGGTGGGGCAGTGGCGGCAAAAAACTGCCCCACGATACAAGATTCCACCGGTAATCGCTGCGAGCCGCGATTCCACGCGAGCGAGGGGTGAATTCGATTAACGGGCACGGGGGTCATGGCTTTTTCTCAGATCAGACCGCGTTTTTTTTTTTAAACCTCTGTCCCTCTAATAACCGGTCGGTGCCACGCACCCTTGGCCACCGTGAAGCTCGTGCGTGTGTAAACAACGATTGTTCATTCACGGTGACTTGTATGAGAAAATCTTCCGGTCTATGTCGCTTGTAAACGCACTGCATCAAAGAGCTTCTCGCCCCTCAATTTATGTTGACAATTTATGTTGATTGGATTTCTATCAAGGACATTTAATTATTTGGATCAGTTTCTTCGAGTTCCATCCTGTCATCTCTGTTTGAGGATCGCTGTAATTGTTATTATGAATTCGAGCGACAATCTTTTTCCGATTTTCTCGAATCGATTGATTGAATCGATCATGTAATGTTGATATCATGATGACAAGCAGCCGTATGAGAATTCAGAGGCAAAAGCAAGCCCAAGCACCCCGCGAAGGATCCCAGAGGAACTATCCAAAGCTCTTGATATATTGTTATTTTGGTAGAATAAATATACGCTATCTACAAAAGAGAAGGAAAGTAAATAATCATGGCGCGATTATTTAGGTTGGGACGTGCTTGGATCTGAATTTTCTATTCGCAAGCTTGATGTTTGCCGGTATGCGTTTAAGCCTGACATGTCCGTCGTATCTTCAACGACGACTGTTTTAACTTGCTTGAGACTTGCATCGATTATATATAGGGAGCCTTCGAAACGGAACAAAGGAAACGGCGGACAAAGAGCGTTTAAACGGGGAATCCATCTGTACAAAGTATCGAGGCAAGCGTGAACCCACCACCACCATATGCGTGCGTACGAGAGTAACGAGAACGTGTCGCGCGAGAAAGAGTTAATATAAGATTTCGGTCGTTAGAAGAGCGATTATAGCGGAAGTATATGAGAACGCGCGATTACACACCGAAATCGATCGATCCTTCCTTCTTTTTTTAATTCCGATCCCTTCGGTTAATTACCGGCACCGCGTATCAGCGAATTTGCGAGTTGGACGTCGGATTTGGTACATACATGACTGACCTTCGACGTGTGGGTACGGAGGCTGGACTCCGTGGCGAAACCCTTGCCGCAGATGTTGCAGTGGAACGGTCGGTTCTTCGCCCGCTCCACCTGAGCGTCGTGATTCCTCAGGTGTTGCTGCAAATTCGACAGTTGGATGAAGGCCCGCCCGCAGTCCGGTAAATGGCACTTGTACGGTCGTTCACCTGCGATCAGATACCGTAAGGCATATTAGAATTTCGTGCGGCTGTGCACGAGCGTACGTAAATTGTGTTACGGTGGAACACGTAACGGCCCCGTACACGCTCGATCGGGAAATTCGCACCGGTCATGCCACGCGATTTTCCTAGAGGTCGTTTCGAAATTCGAAATTTCATCTTTCCATCGAAAGATGAATAAATCTTTTTCTTTTTCCATAAATATTTTTACCATCAATTACCATGCATGAAATGTAAATAAATTTTATAATATTTACTACAAATTATTAGTTAAACAAACTTTACAAGTTTTATTTTTACCAAAATTTTAAAAATTTTCATATTTCGATGGATTATCACATTTGTACCTATTTCTAGTCGCGGTGCTTTCCTATTATTCGTAATCATGGACAAAGTATTCATGTTTCTAAGCCGTTTATACCGTTTACTTTTGATTGGCGTGTAAGAGTAGGTATCATTCATTTAACGTATCGTACATTCAATATTAACTTTGTCCTCGCGGTCTGGTGCGACGAAGATTGATGAAGAGATTGAAACGTCATTAATGACTCGTTTGTCAGCTCGCCAAGTATGTCTCTCACTCCTCGGCTCGTTCTTAAAAGGTAGAAGCTATGTGGAAAAACGCGCTTAGGAAGTGAATTGGCTGGTCAGTGACTCGACTTTTTTTCCGGGACTTTTTTTACGGGCATGCAACAGGTTTCTACATCTACATCGAAGAGTAGGTGGGAAGAAAAATACCGCATTTTTCTCCGCTCCACAGGCAGCAGAAAGGCGCGGACGGCGCCGGCTACTGCGCAAATTAGACATAGCTAACGCGCAAATATTTTCCGTGCAAATGTGTGCGATGTTATTTATTGCACGGTCTTAAGAAAATTTCCGTTTGCTTCAAAATACGAATATTTAAGCGCCCCTCTCGCCCACGTAATAATGATAAAGTAGCCTCTCGATCGTTTAATCGCTTCGATCGATCGGCATTCGAGAGGTAGACAGACTTCAGCTGCCGCTACGTTTTTATTGCGTTCTTTTTCTCCTCTCCACACTGTTCGTCTCGAGTGGACTCGATTCTAATTCCCACAAGCGATTGGCTCAATTTAACTTTTATTAATATCGACATTCTTCCCCAATCCTTTTTACCCCGGGCACTTGTTCCTTCTGCTCTCTCGCTCTAGCTCTTTCCCTCTCTTTCACTCTCTTTTTCTCTCTCATCTACCTCTTTCTCTTACTCTCAGTCGTTCTACGAGATTCATCTTTTATTCAGTCGCGTGATTCATCGGAGAATTTCATCGTGTTCGATTTAATAAAAATAACTCGAGCGAGCAAAATTAGATTCTGCAATCTTTTATCGCGCGCTGGCATTTAAAACTTCCGAGCGTAAAAACAAAACGCGATCAACGAGATGCATTTTTAAACATACGGTTTTTTTCGCCACGAAAGATAATAGAAGCTTCCTTGTGTGCGATACACGATAAAAGTAGTTGGATTTTAAAATGATGGTACAGTACCGGTAAGTCTGTTATTAAAGGAAACGATTTCCTGGGGGAAACGAGTGAGCTGATCGTTTCTATTTATTTCCCACCTTAAATGAGTGCAATGAGAGGAAGACACCTTTGTATCTGCAAAGCTTTTCACATGAGGTGGAACGCCTTGCCGTCTTTATGTTAACTTATTTATGATAAGAATCCACTTCCGTGAATATTCGTACTCATGCAAATTCTTTTCAGTACTTTTTTAGTATGCGAATTTTAATTGATCACTTAGGTATCATTCTCTAACTAAATTATACATCTTGATGAAATATTTATACACTGAGAGAAAAATGTTAAATTTTAGTAAATAATTGTTTAAATAGTACTAATGTAACATTTATTTACGGAAAATATTTGTTAAATAAAGGATACAATAAATCAAATGAATGATTCTTCTAAAATTAAATAAATATATTTACATTTAAATATTCAACTAACACTATTCAAATAAATTAAAATTTATTAAAATTTAATACGTTTTTCTCTCAGTGTATATAAAAGAAACTCGGACTTAGACTTTGTCTCCGATTTTGCCGATGTTACAGCCGGTGTATTAATATGTATTAATTACGACAGGAAACATACGGTCTCACTCTCTTCACGAGTGACTAAGTCTTTTTTTTACGTTATGCGTGTCAAAACAAAGTATTCCTTTACATGAAGAAAATATTTAATTATGCAATAAGGATGGTTTTGTTTAAAAAAAGAAGAACGTTAGAAAAGGCGCTATTGGAATTTTTATGAAGGGACACTTGGCTTTTCCCTTCTTTGCCGTATGTTTTCTGTCGCGCTACAATTAAAAACGTATTAATACAACGGCTATAACAACAGTGGCGTCGGGGGGGAAGCCTAGTGGTTTCTTATTGTCGGCGCTTAATTGCTGGTTGAAACATTTATTTGTAGAACGATGAGCTCGCCCACGTGTACGCTCGCACATACGTAATATTCGCCTTTTTTGTGTGCTTGACGTTACCGGAAGTAGTGACGGTAGGAACAAACGCGGTGAGAAGGGTTACAAAGTGAGCACACCTCTCTCTTTCTCCTGTTCATAAAAGGGAAATAATGACATAGAACGCACGACTCCGGCTGGTCATTCATTTTCTACGAAAACAGTCAGTTTTCCTATGCACTATTATGCGATAAACGTTGTGCTAACACGACGCCGAGCGTCGATTCTCGCGCGATAATAAAAAAAAATAAAAGGACATTGCAGTAACAATACACAGCAATACACAGCATTGGTATTTCAAGCATGCATTTGGCATTCATTTTTTTCTACCTCGTTTATCGTTTAATCGACCGTGTCATTCGCTAAGGCATTAATCCGTAAATGCGCAATATAATAAAGTATGATTTTATATATTAATCTCTAATTAATTTTTGTTAATAATTAGGTTTTCATTTATTTATTAAACAAAAGCGACAACATGATTGATGATTAGTGACGTATTCCGAGAAACAGATGATTTTCTCGATATTTCGGATTGGAAGTAATGCATTTTTTTAAAAATTAATGAAATATAATTCCTCATTTTAATGTAATAGCTTCTCATTTTGTAATAATTCCCGTGGTCTCGCATGGAGCTGTGAAGAATTATGATTAAATTTAAAATCTCGCGTGCGAAACGAAAAGACAAGAGATAGAACAACGTGGGGGAGAGGGACAAGGGATCGCTCGAGGTTGCCTTGTCGAAGGGTTTAGCCCCAACTCTTTGAAACCCCTTTGTCGACTGCAGGAATTACGAATTATAAAGAACTTTTGATGAATCGGTGCACTTCGACAAGCATTCATCTCGACATTCGACATTGAACTTCTCTCAAATTTCAACCCTAGGACATACGATGGAGCAAAAAACGTTACAATGATGTTACGCAACGATTATTAATGACGAGAAACTATAATTTCAAATTAATAAGCTAAAAAATGTTAATCGCGATTAATCGCGAATTTTTTTTTTCTTGATATCTCGTTAACATTTCGAAATGTCGTCTGGTTTGGACAGCCATAGGTAAAATATAATATTTGTTGCCACGTTGCATTTTCGTACGAGCCATAAATTCTATCCGTCATTTTGGGGCCCGGACAATTTCAATTTTATTCCATTAAAAATCGTGATCATTGTTGCACGAATGAATTTATCGCGCCAGACATTCTACACGAATTTCAACATTTAATTTTGACGTACGGTTACTACCCTCGAGCTCTCCCTCCCTCCCTTTCCCTCCGTTCGCTTGGCTTGCTTGCCTCTCTAGTTCTCTCTCTCTCTCTCTCTCTCTCTCTCTCTCTCTCTCTCTCTCTCTCTCTCTCTCTCTCTC